ACCTACAAGAGTCCCTGCCTTTCTTCTTTAGTTGATCCTTGCTGCCTAGTTCTAATGAAAGGCCACAGAGACTTCAGTTCAGGGCTATCATTTGGGACTTCCTCATGCTGAGGCATCTCAGTTAATGGCAGCCCATCTGTGTCCTCCTGGATACTGACTCTGAATAATCTTTGAGTGATTGTGCATCCTTTTGCAAAAGGTTGTGAAGTGTGACGGGGTAGGAGCCATATGCCTGCTAATGCTATTAGCCTCAGATTGCCTGTAAAGTTGGACAAGAACAGAGATTTCCCTTTTCATATGGAATTGCTCTGCGGAAGGGGAGTAGCCCCCGAGAGCTCTGGATCTAGGAAATGGCAAATTAGTTTCATTGGGTTTCACCCAGTGTAGGAGATTTTCCCCGCCTTTCCACACTGGTTCAGATCTCCAGACACACATCTGTACATCATAGGGGTAAGGCTCGGGAATGTGGGACAGAGGCACCAGTGAGAGCTGTCTACTCAGAGAGTCTCAACTGTTCTCAGTTACATGTCAGAAGCCAAATAGTGCACTAAGTGAGGATTTCACTGTTGTCACACAACCCGGAACCTAGGAGCAGGTGAGCCAGTCTTAACATGGTTTCTCAAGGGAGAAAGCTTCCATTATAGGTGGCTAAATTAGGTAGAAGTATCTAGGCAGTCAGACAGGACTAGACCCTCAGAGAAATCAGTACAGATACATTACAACTGTGGGTAGAAGTACATTGTTGAAGGCCAGACCTCAAGACAAAAGATAGAATGACTACACCCGAGCACTTCCCCCATGGATAAAGAGCTCTCGTAGGTATCCAACACTTTGGATGCGGGTCCAGGAAGTCACTGATCCACCCCCTCCAGAGTAAGCCCCCAATTGTTCTATGTACCCTTGCTATGCCCATTGCTTCTCCATTTGATTCTCATTTAATCAATATAAGAAACTAAACTCACAATCAGTTGACCATAGTTTCATCCCACTGCGCCCCCACCTTGTGACATCCCACTGGATCAGTGTTACTACTAATGATGTGGAGAGGGGAGAGACCACCTTAACAAGCTTTGTGTAAGGAACCACGGCTGTTTATTCACTCCTGTAGGAACAGGCTGAGCCCTGAGAAAAGGAATCAGCACAAAGTTAAGATACAACAAAGCCTTTAAAGAGAAGGGAAAGAGTTTGATGCCTTGAATCTGGGGGTGGAGGTAACATGGTTGTGCAGGTGTGAGTGTGGTCATATTTCTCTGGACGGGCAGTGCAGATGGACTTGGCTTTGTTCTTCTTTTGTGGTTTCCCACTATGCCTGCCAGTAACAGCCTCATCCATCAGGCATGACAGTTACCTAAGCAACTATACTTGTAATCTTATTAGTTAATTATAGTTCTTCCCACCCTAGACCTGCCTCACCTCATGTTTTTGCTCTATAAAACTTGCTTGAGAAGTAGGGTCCCTTACAACTCCCTCAGACTCCTTCTGTATCTCTTAAATAGAAGATTTCTTTTCCCTAATAAATATCTCCTACTCTTAATCTTCATTGCTCCTAGAATTCATTCTCCAGTTTTAGAGAACACAAACTTGGCCTATCAGACATCTAGTGGGCTAGCAGGTTAAGAGCTATATTTCTCTTTTACTGTTTGGATTATTTGGAGGCACTACCGCATCCCTATATCACTTCTACCTCCCCACTCTGCCACCCTTGGTGAGGGGCTCCAAATATATAGGGCATCATCCAGCATCTGGCTGCACTGCAGGCAGTAAAAGGAGGCCAGAGAAGGCAAAGGGGCCATTTCAGCTGAGTTCTCTATTTCTCTTAAGAAAATAAAGTCTTACCTGGAACCTCCATCTGCTGGAAAGTGTAAATCATTCATTCATATCTCATATGCAGAACTATTCAAAAGACACTGAAGGCGAATTTTCTGGTGGGCACATTGCCACCCCGAATCAAACTGGAAATATAACAGCAAGGAGAAGGCACTTGTGAGACATTGCATAGGTTGTTAGCTGCATCTGCCAAAGGAAGGAGATATGCTTGAGACACTTGGGGTCTATGAGAGCGAGCCATTCCACTAACATCAACTACACACACTTGTGGCTTTTCACAGTGTCAGAATTAGCACACAAGCTGCATCAACTTTGTCAGCGTTGGCAAAGCACTCTCAATTTCACTTGACATCCCATAAGCTGGGCAATCATGGGTTCTATGATTCGGATCTTAATTACCAATGTTTACAACACTCCAGTCCCACATCTAACAGAAATATATAGGGCTCAAACAGGAAGAAATGGATAGCATCAACTGCAGGACTCAAGCAGGCAACACTGAGAGCAAAGGCAGAGCCCACAGAGATGGCAAAACTCCCTCCAGGTGGCTAGAGAAGACCACAGACCAGGCAGAGATTGCTCAGCCTGCGGCTCACTGAGAGGGCAAAGCAGGTTCAAAGCCTATGTCCGGACGGCAGCAGCTCGAGTGGCCTGTATCAAGCACAGACAGCTGCGCTAGAGCCAAGGGGCAGAGCTACCATTCACCGCCTGTCATCATGCTACACTCACAGATGGTCTCATAAGATGACAGATGTGTGTGTGTGTGTGTGTGTGTGTGTGTGTGTGCTGCACTCATGTCAGGTGTCCCCCTCTTCTACAACCTGGGTGAGGGGGTTGTGTGATACATTGGCCTCCTGAGTCTGAAAAATTTTCTCCAATAAAACTTTAATGCATGATGTGTCCATGTGTCCCTCACTTATCCTGGTAGTCATTTTTGATTAGCATGTGTTATGGTTTAGATCTAGAATCTTCTCTCCAAAAGGCCATGTACTTAGGGCTCATCTTTTAGAAGGTGACTGAATCACGGGGACACCATATTCCTCAATGCGTTCATCCACTGAAGGGTTCAGAACTGTTAACAGGTAAGGACTTGGTCACTGTGGGTGTGACCTACAGAAGAGCATTTACCTTCCAGCTCCTCCCTTTTCCCCCTGCTTCCTGATCGCCATGCCCTGAGCAGTTTTCCTCCACCACACCCTTCCAGCCCTGCAGCCAGCTGACCATAGACTAAAGCTTCTAGAAACCAGGAGCCAATATAAACCTCTTCTCAAATTGTAGGTGTTGGGTACTTTGTACCATTGACAAGAAAGTGACTAAAATTGCATAATTCATTTATGTTTGTGCTTTAGGTTTGTGTTTAGCTGGGGCATGTTGTCTTGGGCAAATTTATTGTGGTCCAAGACATCTGCTGGCTATGTATTTGCACAGAGAAGTTGCCAAGTCATTCTGCCTCAGTATTTGTATCAGCCAACTGCTGTTTAATAAAATGGAGTCTCACTCAGAGCCAAGCCCAGCCTGAAAGCTACAGTTCTGTACAACATGGAGTGACAGAGAGGCACAGGCTGCTCACACAGAGTCCTCATGCTAGTCACTGGAAGACAGCTCAAAGGCTAAGAGCAATCCTCACCAGACACTCCTGGAACTCCTCCTGGTGGGGAGCATTTGCTCCAGTGGAGTCTTGGTCCAGTGGCAGTCCTCACAGTGAGCCTTTCATCAACAGCCAGTAAGGTGCAAGAGCCTAGTGGCTCCTGAATGCCAAATTTGCCTCCCAACTCTGGTCCTCATCCAGGCCCCATTTGCTTCCCCTCCATCTCTCTCTCTCTCATCTTTTTTGAGGGTCTTTGGCCTTTCCCCACTCTCAGCCTCTGCTCTATACACAGGAGTCTGCCATTTCTGAAGCCCAGTCCTTTGCAACTCAGGATCCAAGAATATCCTCCTCTATCTTTTGTTCTGCATCATCTTTCTCTAAGGCAGTAGGTACAAAATGTCATGCTCACTGCATAGGTAAAGGGCCCAGTGTATAAGGTGATAGTAGGAACAAAAAGCAACTTCAATTTTAAAATAGCAGCTCACTGTTATATGTGAAACCATACCCAGAAACTCAAACTACAGAGGAGATAAAAATCAGGGCAGAATGTTATGTCTAAAATGTTTAATATTCAGACAGATTGTGAGGTTAAGCTCAACTGCCTATGTTGTAGGGTAATAATAAGCTTCTCTTCTGGAGGGTTAACAACCTAAGTTTGCAGACCAAAAATTGGAGAAAAAGAAGGGATACAAGGACAGCCAACATTTTGGCCCTAACCTTTCAAGGTCAGCGAGGACTCAGGACATAGGAGAACCTGTACTGTAACATCATGTAATTCAGCTGTGTCCCAAATTTTCTCAA